TGCCATCCTTTGTACCTCTCCTTGGCAATGGCCCATATCTTTTCTTTAGGTTCTTCAAGATTCTATAAGTCCCAGTTAAGCTGTTCCAATGCAAAGACAAATATAATACAAAATTTCAGCTAGTGACAACAAAACATATGGACAAAAAAAGATAGTGTCATACCAGTATGTCATCTGCTATTGACTTTTTGACTATTGGATGCACATCCTTCCATGTTTTCACTCCTATAACTGGAGCCTTTTTCCTGGTAAACGTTACCACCTCATCCACGAACGACCGACGGTTCTCACCAATCGGGCCACCCAGCCTAGGATTAGGATTAAATTCGATTTTTAATTTCTGAGTCCGATTCCTAATTCTCTTGTTGGTTACTGTCAAACCTTTGAGACATCCTCTTCCACGGTTTTTTGGAACATTCTCCTAATTGAACATTAACAAATAATGGAACATCCATGATCAGCAAAAGAGTTTTTAATATAAAATATAAAATGGAAGGACCAGCACATACCATCTCCTAGATTTATTGGTTTCGTAGCATGACTCGGCCTATCATTTTGCTCCCCTTCAATTATGTCATCATCATTTGTATTTTCTTCCAATAATGATACTACAAAAAGAATGCAATCAACACATGTTAACAATTATTTTATTGTTTGCAGAATAGTAAACATGTTTAAATCAATAAAGATATTTAATTACGCATGTGTCGACGACGGCCTGTATGCCTTAGCCATTCCTGGTATGTTTCGATGGTTTCATCCCTAAAGGCATCCCTTAAATCTGCGAGTGATGATGAAAATACAATACCACTTGTTAGAGCAACACTTTGTTATAACAATTTGCTTGAGTGAATCATTGAACAATCATACCATTCTTTGGATCCTTGGATTGCAGCTTTTTTAGCCACAGCTTGTAGGCATCAATGTCTTCAAGTGTACTTGTGTCATCATTGTTTCCCTTCTCCCTTGGTTGCTTAATTGGTGTTATGGCGGCATCTACCTCATGTTCCTGCTCCTTCGACAGTACTAACTTGATTTCCCCCTTAGCCTCATTGATACATAGCACTGTATCTGCATCCGTGTATAACCCATGGCTTCAAGTTTTGCTACATCCCTGCCACAACGCATCTTGTAGTACATGAAGTCCCTAGGTCCATACCCAAGCTGTTCTTTAAAACATGCCAAGTTAAAATATGTGACATCAGCTTTGTCTAACTGCACATCAACAAATTCATTTTCTCAATCCTTCCCCTTGCATTGGAAATATAATGTCCAAATCTCTCCAGTCTTTGGTGCACTGCGTGTATAATATATGTAGTTACAAATCAATAAAGCAGTATATTGAAAGATTCAAAACAAAAGGAAATATAATGTGCAATTGTAATTTCAAAATAAATCTACTAACTGATAATTGGGTCCTGCATGTGCCGAGTGGTTCTGCATATGATGTATAGTAGTAATATAATATGTGTGAACTTTTATACACTAGTGTATACTTGAGATGGTGCCAAGACATTTGGGGCCTAGGGCGTCTGCCCCGGCCACTCGCCCTGCCCCAGGGCCGACATTGGGAACCACCGGCCACGCAAAGCGCTAAGTGAAGTCGCCCACAAGAGCAGCTAGCAGGGCCGCCCGCCGAGCGGCCATCGGCCGATAGCGGGCAAACCACGCACAACACAGAGCCTGAGAGCACCTAGCGCCGCCATGCATCCTACGTGCCTCATCGTCGGGCCTGGACGCTGCCGCCACTGCATGCCGAGTGGGGAACGGACTACGGACGAGCAGTATTTGGCATCCGTAATCTGTGTGCCTATGGCATGTGTGCTTGCCCTAAGACGTAAAGCATATCTCTAAATGATACTACTCATAAACCCTAGCGGACCAGAAGTACTATAACATCGTCTACATACCTGGCGTGGCGAAACCTTAGTGACCTGGTGTGTTCCTCTTCATCTTCTTCCTCAACGACGGCTTCAATATGAGGCTGCCGTTCAATTGATCTAGCAAGATGTTTCCTGAGTTGTCCGGCGCCATCGCGTTGTGAAGCAGACGGTGGCATCTTCTTGGATAGAGGCGCCATCATTGCACTCTTGCTGGGATCTCTAGAGGCGACGTCCATGGAGGGATGCCGCGTCCTGGTGTCTGGCGGCGATGGCGCCAGCCGACTTGAGGTAGGGCAAAAACGAAGGGACCCCTCCGATCCTCTCCCTAACGATTTTTTTTGGAATAGATCGCAATTATGGGAATGGTGGGACGCGTGCGTGGGGGCGCTGATTAAAACTAATCCTACCATGGGGGTCGCTGATGAAAGCTAATCCTAGTATCCTATAGTGGTAGCGCAGGATTTTTTCACGGCCTTTGGTTTTTGTGCATGAAAATGTGTTTGAAGGGAAAATTTATGTGGGGCTAAAGAATTTGATGAAGGATTTTGCTAAATCAAAGTAGTTGGTCCAATAAAAATAAAATTCCGTCAAAAAAATTACATAATGAAATTATGATATTAGTTATAGATATTTTCATGGGTCCTTAAAGGAAATAGTGAAACTTGATATTTAAATGTACCAACACATGGATAGTGTGGAAACTAAAATTATGTAATATTCGTGAGTAAATATTTATGCACTTTACCATGAAAGAAAAAATCTATCAAAAATCTATTTTAATTTGATATGGATTTAATATAACATTGTCATATTATTACCAATATTAATTTATATTATGGTTGTCTTGGACATCATTAAATAAATTATAAAATAAAAATCTATCAATACACATATCTTTTAATAGCTTTTTACTCCCAACTACAGACACAAGACGTGGGTCCTACCTAGCTAGTGTAAGATGTGTTGGGGCATATCAAGGTAGTGGGTCATGAAGAGCTGACAAGTAAGACATGACATGGCAATCATTCGGAGATGACATGGCACTCAGACGGACATGATGACCAACCCAACTACGGACTGAAGACGTGGGTCGTCCAACATAGCTAGTGCAAGTTGTGTTGAGGCATACCAAGGTATCGGGTCATGAAGAACCGGCAACTAAGACATGACATGGCAATCAGGCAGAGATGACGTGGCAATTCAGCAGGACATGATGACCAACCCAACGTACGGGTAGTAGTTGTGGGTCCTACCTAGCTAGTGCAAGATGTTAGGGCAGAACATGCTAGTGGGTCGTGAAGAACTGACAAGTAGGACATGACGTGGCACTCAGGCGGAGATGATGTGGCAACTCAGCAGAACATGATTATCCACCCAACTACATGCAGAAGATGTGGGCCTTACCTAGTTAGCGCAAGATGTTGGGGCATAACAAGGTAGTGGGTCATGAAGAACTAACAACTAGGACATGACGTGGCACTCAGGCGAAGATGACCTGGCAACTCAGCAAGACATGATGATCAACCCAACTACAGGCTAAAGATGTGGGTCGTACCTAGCTAGCGCAAGATATTGGGCAATAACAAGGTAGTGGGTCATAAAAAAACGACAAGTGGGACATGACATGGCACTCAGACACGGAGATGACGTGGCAACTCAGTAGGAGATGATCAACTAAGTTTGAGATATATAGGTTGGGCAAATATTTTTGACATAAATAATTATTTTGCAAAAAAATACATAAACCGAAAATACCAAGCCTATTACCCGGTCAGGAAAAACAAAGGTTTGCCTTATAGCGTGCTGAGTGTATGCCATCGTTGTCATCCTTAACTTCAGGGACTCAAATCTTTAAGCTGTGTTAGTCGCAATTGAGTTAGCAAGTTGGTACTAAATCGTGCACGCATCCGTCAAGAGATTGGAGTAACCAGCAAAACGGGCCGGCCCATGTTCACCACATCAAAACCTGCTCGGTTGTTGTCTCTTGGCCGGCCTTCCCCTAAACTTCAGCACAGTGGCGGCGCCTACACCTCACGTAGTTGTGGAATCGGCCGTCGCGTCGCCCCCATCGGCCTCGCCCTACACCTACGGCCGGTCCGCTCGACGGCCTCGTCCGTCATCTGGAGTCCGGAACCACCGGCCGTGTACCTGCGTCTCAGCATCTACGTGCCCGCACGGCCGTGCCGCGTTGGCGTCGGCGTCGTCGCTGGTTGCCAGGCTTGGGTCTCTCCGCTAGTCCGCTGCTCCTCTCCAGTCCAATCTGAAATCCCCAATCTACCAATGAGCCAATAGGATCCATCCTGGTGAGTCCGTGACTGCTAATATTTGCTTCTGATTTTCCCAATTTCTAAATGCTGAATCGATTAGGATGTTGTATTATATCTATTGAAAATATGACTGTACATGTTGATTTGTATTAGATAAGATGCATGCCCCCCCCCCCCCTATAATTTGTTGTGAGCCCCGCCACTGTTTTCTTTACGAATATTCCTACTTCATGTAATCATTTCGTCAAATTGCTTTGTCATGATGATCTTGTGATTTATTAGTCCACTAGGTAATTGCCTGTGCGTTGAATGTTTGCTACTGTCCGAGGATTATCGCCATGCCAAAATCAATATACTCATCTGTTGCTATATGTTTCAAGTCAGTTGTTTCATATATAACTGAAATATTCATATCCATACTGCTCAACTGAACTTCAGTCCCTCGTTTAGCTCCGGTCCAAAAAGGTGAGATTGAGATGTTCTCGTAGCCTCAATTCTCTCTTATCGCCAACTCCAGTGACTTTCGTATGGAAGTGCTTGTAGAAAACCCACGTTGGATTAATTAAAGGCATCCCCTCTAGATATGCTCTTTACCTACATGTATAGCATTCTTTGAAGCAATCATTAAACTAAAATATCAAGTCACCTACTTTTTCTAGCAAAGAGCATGTATCATTACAAAATAACCTTACTGTACTGATTTAATGCAGGTGTCAAGCTGAAGCAGGCAGGGTAATCGGATAATATAGTTGGTGTTGTTGGGAAGGTTGGGTTGTGGTGAAGAGTCGGTGGGCTGTTTTCCAGGAGGCAAGGCAGCAGCATGTCGATTGAAGATAGGAGCTAGATGTGCATGGCGAAGTATACTGCTGAATGGCAAAAAGGATTTAAGGACTTCATTCAGTATACCTTTGGAGGCACATCTAAAGAAGAAACTGCTCCATGTCCATGTACTCGTTGCCGTTGCATGTCCTACAAAAATCAAAAAGATGTTCGATGTCATTTGGTACTTAGAGGGTTCGATGAAAGTTTCATCGAAGAAAGTAATGCTGAAGATTTAGTTGCATGTCCTCAGGAGGATAACCCTGCTGAAGGAGAATATGATGATGGCGAAACAGGTGATGCGCCTGCTAGCAAAAAACTGATTTCTACACTAATTAGAGGAGCTATACATGGTGAACTCATAGGAAGTGGAGATGAAGAGCCAAATGAGAGTGCAAATAATTTTTTTTTAAGTTATTAACCGAGCCAAAAAAGGAACTGTATCCAGGCTGCAAGGAGGCTACAAAGGTTTCTTTCATTATTAGGATCTATCAAATGAAGTGCATGCATGGTTTTAGTAACAGTGGAATACAGTCGATCCTTGATTTGTTCGCGTTGTTCCACCCTAAAATCCCAGACACCTTGGATAAAGTGTGTAAGGTTGTTCGAGATCTTGGACTCGACTACCAAAAGATTCATGCATGTGTGAATGACTGTGTGTTATTTCGTGGGGATTATGCTGACTGGATACATGTCCAACCTATGGTCAGTCTAGGTGGAAAGGGACCGATTCTTCTGAAGATGCTGAGTCCTCTAGCACTTGTGGCGGACAAAAGCGTTTTCCACGTAAGATCTTGCAGTATTTCCCACTTACTCCTCGGCTGCAAAGATTGTTTATGAGGGAGTCGACATCAACACTTATGCGTTGGCATAAGGAAGGACTGGTGCGTGATGGGACAATACGTCACCCTGCGGACTTGTTGGCATGGAAGCATTTGGATGCCCTGGAGGAGGAATTTGCATCTAACCCTCACAATGTAAGGCTTGGACTTGCCTCTGATGGCTTCAATCCGTTTGGGATGTTGAATGTTACATACACTACTTGGCCTGTCATCATAATCCCTTATAACTTGCCCCATTGGTTGTGTTTAAAACAATCGTATTGGATGATGTCAATGTTGATACCAGGGCCCAAATCTCCTGGAATGAACATTGATGTCTATTTGCAGCCACTGATCGATGAGCTAAAGGATCTTTGGGAAAAGGGTGCTCTCACATGGGATGCAAAAGTTAGGAAATTTTTTACTTTATGTGCAGTACTACTATGGACCATAAATGATTTCCCTGCATATGCCATTGCTACCTGGGTCATCATTGCTTTTTACCACAGAACCATAGATGGCGCAGGAATAAAAGTAGCTTCAACAACAAGGTAGAAACAAGGGAGGCTCCGGTGCCGCTTACTAATGAAGAGGTTCTGCAGCAGTATGACAGTTTTGAGCAACCAAAATTTGGGCTAGGCACAAGGAAGAGGAAGCAGCGTGAAGAAGAAATTAGGTGGCACAATTGGAGAAAGAAGAGTGTATTCTTCCAACTACCGTACTGGAAAAAAAATGCTTATTAGGCATAATTTGGATGTCATGCACATCGAGAAGAACATTGGTGAGAGCATATTGGAGACATTGCTTGACATTGATGGTAAATGTAAGGATGGTGAGAAGGCTCGGCTTGACTTACAAAATTTTGGGATCAGGAAGGATCAACATCCTATGGTGGAGAATGGTGTCGTAGAACCGACCAATTTATAAGAGTACAAGTACAATGGCGGCCCGCAAGCGGTCGCACTGTCATACTTGAACCCATATAGACCCAGTAGTCCGTCGAGTACCACGACGGGTCTCGATAAACGATTTACAACAACCAAGATCGTACATGATTCAATATACATGTCACATATTACATAAAGTTCGCAGATACATTTCCATCATCAGAGTATGAAATAGAGTTATTACAAACCAAGTTTGATTAAATAAAAGCGGAAGCAAATTAAGTTTGAAAGTAGAGTTTCCAACATAGTTTAATACAGTGCCCAAGTACTATCACAGTCCACAAAAGCATATAGAAGGATTAATAAAGAAGCCTGCCCAAGGCTCACTCCTCATCCACAGCAGGATAGAAGCAACTCTTGCAATAACCATGATACACAGTGCCATCTGCAACAATGGGAAATAAAACCCTGAGTACGAGAAGGTACTCAGCTAGACTTACCCGTCATAAACCAGAAATAAATTGACTCCAAGGATTATGCAAGGCTGTATAAGTGGAGGTAGCTTGACAACATTTTGCATAAAAAGCGATTAACTCCGTTATACAATTATAATTCTGTTACCAATTAATTATGACTATCCATCTACATTAGCAACTATCCTGTGCCAAACATGTGGTATATCATTTTAAGGGCATACAATAGTAACCATAGCAGGTGTAGTAATTTCATGATTATCCGAACCATCATATTCCATAGTACAATTACTACGATGTTGGGGCTAGCCAAGTTTCCCACTATCCGGGAGAGATGGCGATTCGAATCGATTTCAACCAGCTGGGAATTTATTCCTAACACAAACCCAGGCATACCGCGCGAAGGCAGCCTTAGGTCACCTTTGGTACAACTCAGGTACACATTTCGCGGGTCCGTACCGCGCCGCACAATCTGGGACACCAGATGCCAGGACGTTCAGGCCTAGCCTACCCTTAGGCTCAGTCTGATCGCCCCCCGCAAGGAGCGCACAACAGAACGGGTCCCGGCCTGAGTTGAGCTACTCGGCTTCGCGGTCGGAACGAGTTATCTGGCTAGCTAAGTGATAGGCATGCGTTCAATTTTGTCAAAAGTGCCAACAACGGTACGATCCTTAATCGACACAGACGGGGATAGATCCACACCCAAGACCTCCATGTCTTGTTGTTTCTCTATCGACATCCCGCCCGGTCTCGATTTACTTTTACCCCATGGTTCTTTTCCACGATAGAAAATATAGCCAATCGTGCTTCGGTATCCACCTATATCTCGCAGGTGACAGGAAATCACCCGACTTCTACCGGTTAAGCAGGGCTAAGCATATATTTGATTCTGGACCTACACAGGGTTAAATGTGTATATATCTAGACAAGGTAGTTCCATGCATCAAGTGTTTCCAGACAACTCCTATAACCTAATGCATCAATTATAAAGGATTCAAGTATTATTTTGTAAAACATTGGGAGACTTAGAATGCTCCGGGGCATGCCTCGCAGAAAGGAAGTAGGGCGGTGGTCAAGACACTCCGGAAGTTCCTCAGGGATCTGCTCCTCGCCTTCGGGAGCTGCGACTTGAGGATTCTCCTGCTGGTCCCCTTCCTCTACTTTGTCGAATTCCAGCAACGTTATTTCTTCCTCCGATCCTAGATGCATGAATATGGCATAAGATATTGCGAATGCATATATGTTAACAAGTGTATCATGTTCTACTGAGTAGGTGCATATCTCTTCTTGATTATGCAATTAACTACTTCAACAATTCATCAACTATTTCACAAACAGCGGCTACTTAATTTACTCATAACTGGAGTTCTAATTATCCCAATGTAGTGATCCTGAACTTTCTGGAAAGCTTATAAAATCGCCTACAACTCTTATTTAATTCATAAAAGCTAATTCACAACTTATCTTAGGCAAAACAGACAATCATATCAGTGCTCTCCAGAAATTTCAGAGAGCAAGCAAAATTGGAAAAGCTAACTTTAAACAGCTGTAACTCCTAAACCGTTTGACTTATGGTCCTGAAATTTTAACACAAGACATATGATGAAGTTATCTACAACTTTGTAATTAATCATTTTTATAGCAAACATCATTTTTATCATGCAACTCATCAAACTCTAGAATCAGTCCGGAATCCTTCCAATTCACATTACAAAGTAACAATACTTCTACTTCATGTAATCATTCAAAGTTTGACAACACAAAGTCTACCAACAGTTTAAGCATACCAAATACATCCAAGAAAATATAATGGTGAAGCCCAAACTATTTCTTTATATGTCTTTATTATTTTATTTAGATACATAGGTTAAATAATAAATATCTATCAAATGTGCATCATAAATTCTTAAAAATTTACAGTGCCTTACTAATGCTACCAAAAGACTACTGTAAAAGTTTCATGCCATTTTATTCAGTGAAACACTCTATACAAAAAAGACAAAGCATAAAGGCTTAAAATAGCATAAATAGAAAACCCTAGTGAAAAGTGTCAAGAAACAGATTTCCTATTTTTCTTATCATCCTTATGGTACTAGGATAACCTCCAACAAATTTCATGACTATTGGATTCTTAAATAATTTATGAAAATTCATACAATGACCTGCTAATTATTAAAGGAAAATTTATAACTACAAATCTACTCATGCACTGACCCTGAAATTTTTACCAAAGCTCATACATGACAATAATAGCTTACCACAAAAATTTCATAATTTTTGGAGCACAGGAACTCTAGATATAAAATAAACAAATTTGCATGCATTCAAAAACACATTTCAAACTTCCATTTAAATCTTCCAAAATTTCTACTGTAAGTGTCAAGACTATATTTTTCCTAAATACTACACTTCCTATGGAACACTACCAAATTTATTTCACCATTTTTGAAGCTACCAAATTGGAGATCTAAAAATTACAAAATACACTCAAATCTGGAATATTTGAACTATCTTTATAATATAGAGTCGTTGACAGCAGGGACCCATTGGTCAGTAGGGCCCGCCTGTCATCGACGCAAAACAGGGGACGACGCTTGCTACGGCGCTGGCGCGGTCAGAGCTCATCGCCGGTGAGTTCGCCGGCGGTGGCATCTTCACAACACGACCTACTCGACCGGGCGCACATGTGGGGCTAGCTAGGCGGGCTGATCACCGGCGCGAAGGGCGACGACGTCGGCCATGGCGGCACAGCGGGGCAGAACGACGGCGTTACGCCGGTGGAAGCCACGGCGGCCCAACCTAGAGCTCGGACGAGCATAACTGAACTACGGTGAACCTATTGCGCGCGCTCTCGTGGCCTTCGGTGGTCGGGTTAGGTGGGACCACAGCGACGGAGGGTGGTGGCGGGGCTCCGGCGAGCACTTGCATGGCGCTGGAGCTTACCGAGCTCTATCAGCGGGCACTGGTGGATGCGGTGAGCTGCTGGGGTGGCGGTGGAGTGCTACGGTGGTGATGGAGTAGCTAGGCGCAAGCTGGTGCCGTCAACGGCGATGGCGGCGCCCGGTGCTGAGGCTGCAGCTGCTACGGGCGCTGCGAACGGTGAAGGAGGAGCCAGAACAGGAAAATGAAGGCGCGGAAAGGAGCGGGCGAGCGCTGGCGTGTTAAAGGCTCGCTCTGGCCAGCCTGGCCGCACGGGGCAGGGCGTCAGCGACGCGTGGCCATCACTGCCTCCACGCGGCG